TTTTGTTTGTTTAACACCAAAACCCACTAAATCGGTATTTCCTTGAGAGAACTTTCAAGAAGCCAAGTTTGTGCCGGAATTTTTCTTCTTTTGATTACACACACAAAAGGAAGAGAGAAAAAGAAGAAGAGAAAATTAAAGTTTCAAGAGTTGCAAATCAATCATACAAGCCCTCTTGCTCCCACACATCCACAAGAAAATCCACCATTTCCTGCCACAACAATCATAATATATCCATCATATATCAACAAAACCCTAAATCATATCTTTAGAATCATGAAAATTTGCATATAAATTGCTTACAGGAAGAGGTATTGGACGAGAAAACCGCTTGTTCATACCCAACAAGCTCTCATATGTTGCATTCCAGCTGCAGAAAACGAAACATTAACCTCAGAAAGTTCTGAAGAATTATTCGAATCGTCAACAACTCTGATGATAACTAAGATTGATCCATGAACTTTCTGATAGACTTCAAGCTGTAAGAACCTCGTCTTTTATAACCTAAGATGACCCTAAAGGACTTAAAGAGAAGAATCAAGCACGGACACCATTCTTGTAACAGCCTTTGGAACACCAATCTCCGGATGACTTGCTGATGCATCTTTATTGATGGAAGAAAATTTTAAGAAAAGGTTACATGAATGGTGTCACGCAATTGATTTTGCTTTTAGATTATGATTAGGTTCCTATTATTCTTGAGTTACGAAGTTCAGCTACGGTGTTCGGTGGAAGTACTGATAGAGCTAACAACCAATAGTCATGAAAGTTGGAAGCTTATTTATGCATGTTTCTAGAGAATAAAATGTATATAATATAAACGCATGATATAAGACATGAAATAGCTTCCATTTTGAAAAGAGGAATGACTATCGAAACGATCTCCAACTTATGGTTTTGTTTATCTGTGAATGCACATTAGTGAATATCCCAGTCAACTTCTTTTCAATATTTGAGTGTTGAGTGAAGAACTACATTCATAGAGGATTAATGCAGATGCAGAGGAGAAAAAGAAAGATAACTTTCACCAACCTTATTGTCGGTTCTCGAAGTTTGGGCTTTGTTTGAGAAGTTCCATTTGCAAGCCACTGTTGCCTAGTTTGGTTCCACAGAATCAATCCTGGACAGGAAGAAAGAACAGACACAAACTTTCTTTAGGGAAAATGACAGAACTGCAGAACATAGCACATAATCATGAAGTAATAACATAAACGCAATCCAAAAGTCACAGTAATAATATTTCAAGAAACAGGCCAAAATATACCAAGAAACAAGAGAAGTGGAAGATAATAATATTTAACTTTGCTGCATAGAGCATTCCATTTTTTGTGTGAAACCTTATTATGCAGAGTCAGGTTTAATTTGACGTATCAACAGCCAACATCTAAGTATCATGACACGATAGTTTTCATGCTGAAACAACAAATATATAGTAAATTCAAGAGAAATGTGCCTCCAAACGTATATCTCCATATAGTCAATCATAGACTAGGGATCATCCACTGATTGAGAAAATTATAAAGTATAATTAGTAATGTAAGCCAAAACCCAGCTACAAATATTAAAAGTTGGTTGGCCATCAGAATGAGAAAGCTAACACCATAAGTAGATAGTTTCAAGATTGAATCAATCAGAACATATTAAAGCTTGGAAGCAGTCTTTCACTTGTTAGGGAAAAAGCCAAGCAAATAAAATATGAGAAAGGATCACTGGAAATAGGAATGTAAGAAAATTTCAAACTCACCGTGGTTTACAAATTCGGTGGGGTTGCTTGTACTTGCGGAAGTAGCAGTGTTGTTAGTGAAGCTGATAGAAGACATGCTTCTCTGTGACGGAAGTGTGCTGTTATCCATCTCGCAGGTGCTTGTGCTCCAGAAATCGTCTGATACGCTTGGTTTCTTCACTAACCGACCTTGAATCCTTAACCCTTTAGACGGCTCATCCACTGCAACTATAAGCGGTGGTTTATTGCAGCATCCAAAACAACCTCTGTACTGTTGCAAAACCACAAAACGAAAAAAAACGCCAGTGAGAAGACTTTGATTAGAGCTACAAGAAATGTGTGAAACTCTGTTCTTGAGATTAAGAGAAACGCAAAATGTGGATAATATTTGATTTGGAAAGACTCTGCAGACACAACCATAAGTTCCATAGAGAAAGGAAAAGGGGACACAAGAAAGTTCTTAGTTAGAAAACAGAACAGAAGAAAATAAGTAGATATGTATACATGTGATTCAAGTCACATATTTATCCTCTGAAGATTCTGAAGTAAAGTGTCTTTAATGATCTTAATACTTAGAGCAATCTAGCAATCCGAATTCAAGACGCTCACGAAACTAAAGAAAGCTTTGAATCATGAGAGATGCTTTGATTCCATTATTTTTACTTAAAATGCAAGCAAAAACCATATATCCACCAAAAGCCATAAGGAGAGATAGTAGCAAACCTAACCTACAAATTTAAGGAAAAAAACAAAGCCACAAATTCTCAAAAAAGATGATGGGTCAAATTTAGATTCAAAGTTTTAAATTTTACTCCAAATTTTCCTCTTCCTTTCTAATAAATCATACAGGTAAACAACACACACTCAATTCAAAAACAAAAATTGAGAAAATTGGGGAGAAAGATCCTCACTGACCCCATGCAACCAAACAACTGGTAGATCCAAGAGGGAATATATTCACGGATATGCATCTACAGCAACCAAATTAACGATCTTCTAATCAAGACCCTGATCCCTGGTAGGAGAAGTCTCACAATCCTGCAAAAAAAATTCAATTTTTTCCCCT